AGAATGGGCGAAGCGCACTTTCACTATCGATTCCTCACATGCGGAGTGCATTTGGTATCACTCCGCCTGTGACAGGAGCCGGCGCTTTAGAGGAAGCATCGGCTTATGCAGCTCTGCTCCATCCGCTGCCGCCTTGCTTCCTCTAGCGCTGGCTTCGTTGACACCGCTGATTCTCTCCCCCTTCAAGTTCCCCCTTATGCCAGCACCGGCCCTGGGAATGGTCACAACTAGGTCTTATTTTTGGGGTAGGTCTTATTTTCGGGGAAACAGGATAGCTAGGAGGGTTTCTGTGTTGGCAGCCCTATCATGCAAGGAGCCTTTTTTGGTCATGCATAAGGAAAAGGGAGTCTCAAGCCCAGACAGTCCTCCTTAGCCAAGGTGGTTTCATCTGTTTACCTTTTTCATGGTATTATGTTGTCCTTCTTTTTTCCAGATCCTTAGAATCCTAGGGAAGAACAGTTATACACTTTGGATGTTGTAAGAGTTTTGTGGGTCTATTTAGATGCTACCTCTTCTTTCTAACAATCAAATTTGCTGTTCTGCCAGAAGGTTTTTGCCTTCCTGTTCACTGTAGCTCATAGATTAGACAAGTCATTCTACAGACTTATTCTAGTAAGAAAGTATCTCCCCCTTTTCCTATGAGGGCTTATTCCACTATGGCTGCCAGTACCTTGTGAGCTCTTTTTCTCCAGCCATCTGTTCAGCAGATTTGCATTCCCACCTTGCACTATTGCTTTTAGACATCTCGTCTATCCTGATTAGCCTGTGTACGGTACGATAAACGACATTAGAATTTTTGACTTACCTGTAAAATAATTTTCTTGGAGTACAGCACAGGACACAGCACCCTCCCTTGTATGTCCTCATTCATTATTATTTTCAAATAACTGAGGATTTGTGGTAGAGGGAGGAGTTATATAGGCTCCAAATTGCTCTGGCCAGTGTCCAGTCACCTGACGATGTCACCATATAACTCATCTGTCCTGATTGGCCTGTGTCCTGTACTGTACTCCAAGAAAAGATTTTACAGGTAGGTCAAGAATCCTACTTTACACTTGGCAGAGTACCAACAATACTTGTAACATTCATTGCCTAGGGACTCATGCCCGTCTTTTTTTTTCACCGTATGACAGGTTTTCTTCAAGGAAAAGTATGCAAACCATAGTACATTTGTCCTTTTAATGCACTGTTTTGGTACTATGCTTAAAGTGGGATGAAATATTTACTTTTTGTCTTGAATTACTTCGCAAATGCACTGCACACCCTGGCGTGTGTGTGCTTTGGCATTCCTTTGCCTACAGCATCATAACTGTATATCTGCTGGGTAAAAAGCACGGTTGCCTGTGACTGCAAGCCTCTCAAGATTTGGAGTGAGTTTGGCGATGTGTCTTATGTTCCCCTCTCTGCTCTTTTCTTTGGAGGACAGCTTTGACATGAGGAAGCAAACACTTCTTCTCTACCAAAATGGCAGTCCCTACAGAGACCCAGTATAGAACAAGACATAGTAAGTGTCTAGTTTCTAATGGGGAAAAGAGCAGCTGTAGGTAGATGACAGACAATAACAGTGACTAGTCTTTTGCCCTCTTTTTGGCTTTTTTTTTGCACAGCCACCACAATGTGGTCCTCTTTAAAACAGCTAATGGAGCATATCATGAAGGTACCATTATTTTTTCTTGCTTAGGGAGTAGAAAAGTATAATGTATTGCTTGCATTTGTAGTCCTCTATAGCTGGTGCCTTACTGCATTTCTGTATAATGTATTGCTGGGATTTGTAGTCTTCTTTAGCTGGTGCGATGTTGCATTGCTATATAATGTATTGCTGAGATTTGTAGTCCTCTATAGCTGATGGTATTCTGAATTTCTTTATAATGTATTGCTGAGATTTGTAGTCCCTCTACAGCTTGGAATCAGTGGCAGAACTGCCAGGGCTGCAGCGGTTGCAGCTGTGACTAGGCCCTGGTGCTCCACCACTGTCCTAAAATTATTAGTCTGCATTGTTTTAGAAAAACTGTCACATGACACAAAAAAAAAAAGGTATCAGATACCCCTACTTTACTACAAGAACCGAAGCCCTTTTATTGTAAGGTTTACTATCGAGCATGGAACATGTACTTTTGTTGGAGTAAAAGGAGGGACTTTAACCCTAAAGTGTTCTCATGGAGCCAGATTCTGCAATCCGGGGTTGGATCAGAATTTGGCACGGAACACAATTGAAGGCCAAATTTCAGCTCTAACAGTTCTCTTTCAAGAGTCTTTGGCCTCTCATTCTTTAAGGCCTTTGTACAAGGAGTTACTTAGCTCTGGCAAAATGTTCTCCTTTCTCACCATGGGACCTTAAGTTGTTGCTTTCCTGTTTACAGCAGTCTCCTTTAGAACCTTTGGAAAACATAGGTTTAGAAGATCTTACTTGTAAGGTTGTGTTTCTAGTACCGTGTTTCCCCGAAAATAAGACACTGTTTTATTTTTTTGGGCTCAAAAAAACACACTAGGTCTTATTTTTGGGGTAGGTCTTATTTTTTTATTTTTTTTTGTATAACAATCCAAAGTTAATGCAAATCCAAATTAAATAATCCAAAATGGCAAAGTTAAGAATAGGGTAATCAGGGCAATCAGTGGTGCCGTACCTTTCCAAGAGCAATTTGGTAACCAGAATGGGCGAAGCGCACTTTCACTATCGATTCCTCACATGCGGAGTGCATTTGGTATCACTCCGCCTGTGACAGGAGCCGGCGCTTTAGAGGAAGCATCGGCTTATGCAGCTCTGCTCCATCCGCTGCCGCCTTGCTTCCTCTAGCGCTGGCTTCGTTGACACCGCTGATTCTCTCCCCCTTCAAGTTCCCCCTTATGCCAGCACCGGCCCTGGGAATGGTCACAACTAGGTCTTATTTTTGGGGTAGGTCTTATTTTCGGGGAAACAGGATAGCTAGGAGGGTTTCTGTGTTGGCAGCCCTATCATGCAAGGAGCCTTTTTTGGTCATGCATAAGGAAAAGGGAGTCTCAAGCCCAGACAGTCCTCCTTAGCCAAGGTGGTTTCATCTGTTTACCTTTTTCATGGTATTATGTTGTCCTTCTTTTTTCCAGATCCTTAGAATCCTAGGGAAGAACAGTTATACACTTTGGATGTTGTAAGAGTTTTGTGGGTCTATTTAGATGCTACCTCTTCTTTCTAACAATCAAATTTGCTGTTCTGCCAGAAGGTTTTTGCCTTCCTGTTCACTGTAGCTCATAGATTAGACAAGTCATTCTACAGACTTATTCTAGTAAGAAAGTATCTCCCCCTTTTCCTATGAGGGCTTATTCCACTATGGCTGCCAGTACCTTGTGAGCTCTTTTTCTCCAGCCATCTGTTCAGCAGATTTGCATTCCCACCTTGCACTATTGCTTTTAGACATCTCGTCTATCCTGATTAGCCTGTGTACGGTACGATAAACGACATTAGAATTTTTGACTTACCTGTAAAATAATTTTCTTGGAGTACAGCACAGGACACAGCACCCTCCCTTGTATGTCCTCATTCATTATTATTTTCAAATAACTGAGGATTTGTGGTAGAGGGAGGAGTTATATAGGCTCCAAATTGCTCTGGCCAGTGTCCAGTCACCTGACGATGTCACCATATAACTCATCTGTCCTGATTGGCCTGTGTCCTGTACTGTACTCCAAGAAAAGATTTTACAGGTAGGTCAAGAATCCTACTTTACACTTGGCAGAGTACCAACAATACTTGTAACATTCATTGCCTAGGGACTCATGCCCGTCTTTTTTTTTCACCGTATGACAGGTTTTCTTCAAGGAAAAGTATGCAAACCATAGTACATTTGTCCTTTTAATGCACTGTTTTGGTACTATGCTTAAAGTGGGATGAAATATTTACTTTTTGTCTTGAATTACTTCGCAAATGCACTGCACACCCTGGCGTGTGTGTGCTTTGGCATTCCTTTGCCTACAGCATCATAACTGTATATCTGCTGGGTAAAAAGCACGGTTGCCTGTGACTGCAAGCCTCTCAAGATTTGGAGTGAGTTTGGCGATGTGTCTTATGTTCCCCTCTCTGCTCTTTTCTTTGGAGGACAGCTTTGACATGAGGAAGCAAACACTTCTTCTCTACCAAAATGGCAGTCCCTACAGAGACCCAGTATAGAACAAGACATAGTAAGTGTCTAGTTTCTAATGGGGAAAAGAGCAGCTGTAGGTAGATGACAGACAATAACAGTGACTAGTCTTTTGCCCTCTTTTTGGCTTTTTTTTTGCACAGCCACCACAATGTGGTCCTCTTTAAAACAGCTAATGGAGCATATCATGAAGGTACCATTATTTTTTCTTGCTTAGGGAGTAGAAAAGTATAATGTATTGCTTGCATTTGTAGTCCTCTATAGCTGGTGCCTTACTGCATTTCTGTATAATGTATTGCTGGGATTTGTAGTCTTCTTTAGCTGGTGCGATGTTGCATTGCTATATAATGTATTGCTGAGATTTGTAGTCCTCTATAGCTGATGGTATTCTGAATTTCTTTATAATGTATTGCTGAGATTTGTAGTCCCTCTACAGCTTGGAATCAGTGGCAGAACTGCCAGGGCTGCAGCGGTTGCAGCTGTGACTAGGCCCTGGTGCTCCACCACTGTCCTAAAATTATTAGTCTGCATTGTTTTAGAAAAACTGTCACATGACACAAAAAAAAAAAGGTATCAGCGAGTACTTGAGGAAAAGTATCGGTACTAGTACTCGGTCAGGAAATAATAGTATTGGTGCATACCTACATTTTATGCATTTTACAAATGTCTGTGCTTTTTATGGTTCAGTTATTGCATGATCATTGATACTGATTTCTTAAATTACCATGTAAGTGTTGGCCTAGAAAATGTAGATGAATGTTTAAATATAATGAGGCATAATAACTAGCTGTGCAGAAAAAACATTGGGTATTATAGCTGCTTAAAATACCGGTGTTCTCTTTAAAAGTGGAATGATTTACATTTTTGTTTGTGGATTGGTTTCAATAGGTCACACCATCAAGCATTCCATTAGAACTGCAAAGCTTGGAACCATCTATGGCACCCCAGGCTTCACCTACCCGTGAACGGTCCCCAGATGTTATCTCAAGTGCTTCCACTGCTGTGTCACAAGATATTCCGGAGATTGCCTCAGAGACCCTGCAAAGAAGTTACCCAGCACCTATATCATTAGGCCTGACCCTTGAAGATACTGACACAAATCATGCTCCTAGCATGAGCTCTGCAGCCTCTGCCCTACAGCTTCTTTCAGCCCGTAATTGTAACATACCAGAGCATGGACACCGACCATTAGAGCCTGGATTGTCTGGAGCTCCAGATGAATTAGTTGGTGCTGAGACCCTGACTGAGAGAAGTATTCATAAGGATAAGGTAGATGAAGTCATATCCCAGCCTTGGCCTGCAGCACCTGACATTACAAGGGAGACCAGGAATAATTTATCTGAAAGGTAAGAAAGCTTTTGAGCTTTCGTATGATATTTGCTGATTATTTATATATTGGTGCCATGCTTTAATAGATCAGTACACTCAGTAAAAACATTTTCTTAGGATTGATAAGATGGCTGGAAACACAATGCTAATGTCAATTTCCAAGTGTACCATGTGAAAAGATTCATATTTTAATGGAAAATTTGTCATAAATCTATAACTGACACTCTCATCTTTAGTTAAGACATCTGGTTGGCTGTTAGAAAATCATTTGCTTAAACGGACATTCATGTTCATTGGTGCAGTAACCTATTGCTTTTGCTTGTTGGTACTGAATATGTTGAATTTTTGTGTTGTGTGCTTTAATTTTTGCGAACATTTTTGGGACATGCTGCCAATGACCAAATCTATTTTGTAGTCTTTTAGGGACAACATATGGCCAGGCTGTTTTTTTTTTAAAGTAGATCTAAACCCAAACCTGAACATTTAATATTAGCTTTAAGTGGACCTTGCAGTCAATAGCAACTAAGACCTAGATGGTAACCCCACCTCCATCCAAAATCTCTGTCTGGCAAAGAAGAAATTACCAAAAAAAAGGCTACCTTACACCTCGGCTTCCTGATTCATAATCTAGAGGGAAATCTGAGGTTCCCAAATCTTGCGAAAATGTGCTTCTGCATTATATGACCATGACTCCAGTTGCAGCAAGGTCTGGGGATGAAAAAGGCAACATGTTTAGAGAGAGTTGTAAAGCCATTTCATCATGGGAGAAGGACAAACCAGATCAGCAAAAGCTACTCTCATGGGCTCTTTAAGATGTAAATAAACACCTCATGGCTTACCTGCTAAGCCTGGGTCTGGCTCCCAGAGGGGTTGGTGATCTGCCAAATGGCATCCTTCTCAGCCACATGGGAAGGAGGAGTGATGGGGAGTTAGGAGACGCAATCTATTTAACTCTAGCAGTGGCACCACGTGTCGTTCGTATTACATCAGTATGCTTTAGTGCCGCTCCTTTCCTATAGGAAAACAACCCCTGAGGAGAGCAATTCCACTCTTCACTGTAGAGCACAAGATACATCACAAGCTTTTTCCAAGTACTGAACAGGAGAAGGGTAGGAATGCATTGCCCTCCCTATTTCAAAGTGGGCCCTGCATCTCCAAAGAAATTTCCTGGATCACACAAGGGTAAATTGTCTTACCCTAATATTTGAATGCCACCCACATGCCAATTTTATGTACCTGCAGATGAGAAAGGTTCACATTAAATAACATAAAAGTGAAAACAAAAAGAAGCAGAAATCAGCATAACAATACATTTTTCATGAAATTGACATAATTTACATATTTTGTTAAAGTTCAACAATATTTTAATGGGATTACTATGACTTTGTCTAACAGTTTTATGAATTAAGCAAAACTTATTGGAGCCAATTTACTTAGAGTTTGAAACTGCCACTCTATAAATTGTAGCTGTATTCACTTTGAATAAATGTGAAATAAATCAACAAGGGTTTTGCTTTTCACATGATTAGATAATTGATTTGAATCTTAACACAATTTCTTAGATAAAGATTCTTAAACTGTTTAGTACACCAGCCTTGCTCTCAAGTTTAAACTGGGCCTTGTCATGGCCTGTATTGTATAAATGCATCTACTCTTGCTTTTTGATCATCAAACTTGCCAACTTTCTGAATTTGGCACTTTTAATAGAATCCCATTTGGAATTGTATTAATAAAACTTTTCAAAGTGCGAACCTATTTGTGTTGTTAAATTAGCACCTACAATATAATGTGTATGGCGGTACATTCTGTTTCATTGCATTCTCTTGGTTCTGTCCACATACAGCCCTGCATCCACATACATTCATATAGGACATCCTTCCTAGTTTGGTATTCTAATTCTAGGAAGTGATTTTACCTTCACATATGATCTACTACCAGATGTCTCAAAAGGTGCATCTTGCATTGCTTTAATTGAAACTTAACTGAATTCCTCAATGAACATTACCTAACCAGCACTTGAAGGAGTACAATGGGGCAACCTTTTTTGCCCATAGTTTTCCTCAGGGTCACAGAAGGACATATACTGTGTGCTCCGGTGACCCAAAACTCAGTATATTGCTATTGCCCGATATATGCTGAGAGCGCTGAATCAGGGACAGATCCCAACAATACTGTTGAGATCCACCCCGCTGGGTCTGCCTCTCTAAAGGCAGGACAAGCTGCGCCCGCCCCCTCTCCCGGCAGGGAGCTGTGACTGGCAGTCACCGTTCTGTGCAGGGAAAGGATCAGGGAATCAGTGATCGGCGGTGTGCTGACTTCCTGATCAATTGAGCCGACCTGTGTATTGTTGGGATCTGTACCTGAACCAAGGATCTATAACATCTGTTCACTGTGCCGAAGCCGTACCGTAAAAGAATGTACACTTTTGTCTGGTATTTCTCCTGAAATATTGCAGTCCTGGTATGCGAACGTGCCTAGGCACTGCTGTGCATGCAGCCTCATAACTGTATATCTGCAGTGGGTTAATTAATTTATGACTTTGAAAATCTGCTTGCCATACCTTGGGAATGGGAACTGCTGAAATCTCTATTACCAAATATTTTGCCCTGCAGAAAATGTTTACCTCTACCTGCCTTTTTGTATCTCATTGATGATTTATGAATGCTATATATGTCATGGTGGTAATGTCGGACTATATCCTCAAGCAGTGACATCCAGTAAGAGTGGCAGATTGCTTGATTCTCTAGTATGGCGATTGACAGTTTAGACCCCTAGTGCCCGGCCTGGAGGCCACAGGTGCGACTTTGTGGTCCTTGGAGCCCTAGTGGACAGTAGTCTGCATTTTAGGGATTACTTAAAGAAGAACAGGTTCTTTTTTATACTGGCTTCTAGTAGTTACATTTCTTCTTGTACAAAAAAAAATTCTGTGCTGTTTCTCTTTTGTTTTTTTGTTCTTTACTATGATCATTTATAATTGATCTTGCTGAGAGAAATATCAAATGTGGCACCAGTTTTTTAAGGTGTTTTTTTGGGAGCACCAATGTGGAATCATTGATTTATAAAGTGGCTGTAATATTAGTCATCTCCTGCAGTCTCATGTAATCTGCTTCCAGTTTATTACTCTGAAATCTTCAAACTTCACTTGTGTTGTAGACACCAGAAAATCTCTTCAAAGTTAAGGAAATTATCTCTTAGACCATAGTCACTGCAAGAGATTTCCCCAGAGGAAAATGTTCCCTTGATACCTGTTTTGGTAACAAGTCAAAATGTATAATTTTTTTGAACTTTAAATCCCTAATACTGTGGTTACCAGGACAAACGGAGAGGGAGAATCTCCCTAGTATGAACACAGATGGCAGTACAGATTGATAAGGATGCTAACCCTTTGCCACTCAGAATAACATTTAAAAAAGCTGAGTTTTGCAAATGCACACTACAATGTTTTCTTATCTTACCTTTTTTCAGTGACCATGATGATGAAGTGGCCAGTCTGGTAACTGCTATAAACAGCTTTGGAGGAAAGGGTCAGAGCCCAAGGTTGCTTGTAAAGGAGTGGAAAACCAGTGTATCTCCAAATTCTTCACCCAAGTCTTGCATGAAATCCGTTATGGATCACAAGTATGTTATTTCTTGCAATTAAAAAGTGAATGAGAACTTTCTGATCCTTTAACCCTTTCACTACTGCTTTTTTTCACACACATACCAAAATGTGCGTTTTGGCCTCTAGATTGCAAAAAACCTCCAACACATTATCAGGGGAATTTATCAAAACTGGAGCAGACAAAATCTGGAGCAGCTGTACATGGCATCCAATCAGCTTCTACCTTTCATTATCAAAACTTAACTGAACAAACTAAAGAGCAAAGCTGATTGGTTGCCATGGGCAACTCCTCCAGATTTTGTCTGCTCCAGTTTTGATAAATCCTCCCCCCCATATCTCTGAAAGCAGAGGACCTGTAGAATATAATGATGGAAGCTGAACATTTATGTAACGTAACCTAAAACCTATATTTTCAGTAAAAGAAAATCACTTAAGTTAATTTTAAAACCCCAATATTGTTCCCAATTTTCAGCAAAATATAACAATGAAACTGTGTAGAGGAAATAGATATCAAATATGTCTAGCTGTAAAAATGCAGAAAAGATCTCTATTTCGATTCACATAGGTGACATATACACTTACTGGCCACTTTATTGTGTACACTAGTACTGGGTTGAATCCCCTTTGTCTTCGGGAACTGCCTTAATTCTTTGTGGCATTGATTCAACAAGGTGATGGAAACATTCCTGTGTGTGTGTGTGTGTATGTATGTATGTGTGTGTGTGTGTGTATGTATGTATGTATGTATGTATATATACATACATACATATATATATATGATCTCTGAACGCACTGTTCGCCGTACAATGCATCGGATGGGATATGGAAGCCGAAGGCCTGTTCGAACACCTTTGCTGTCTGCAGTTAACAAGATAAAATGTCTCCAATTCGCACAGGAACACAAGGATTGGACAGTCGGGCATTGGAAAAAAGTAATGTGGTCCGATGAATCACGTTTCCAATTGCATCATGCAGATGGCAGAGTGAGAATTTGGCGGAAACAGCATGAAAGCATGCACCCCACATGCATGAGTACAACCCTTCAAGCTGGTGGGGGCAGTGTTATGGTTTGGGGCATGCTTTCCGGGCATGGGATTTGGGCCATTGAATTCGTGTGGAACAACGTCTGAATAGCACAACATACCAAAGCATCGTTGCTGATCAAGTTCATCCTATCATGTTGATGGTGTATCCCAATGGAGATGTTTTCTTCCAACAAGACAATGCACCATGCCACTGTGCTCGTATTGTGCAGGAGTGGTTTCAAGAACATGAGGGAGACTTTACCTCGCTTAGGTGGTCCCCACAATCACCAGATCTCAATCCAATTGAGCATTTGTGGGACGAAGTTGAAAGAGCCATCAGGCAGCCATCAGGAACAAGCTGCCATCAGGCAGCTGGTTCCACACCATCAAATCTCACAAAACTGGACAATGCTATTCATCAGGCATGGTGTCAGATTGTGTGTGATGTGTGTGTGTGTATATATATGTATATGTCTGTCTGTAAGATCTAGATAAGCTTTAGCAGCAGAGCACATGGCAGCAGCCTGCACTCAGCAAGCACCTGCAGGGTAAAGCACCACAAGCAAGCTAATGGATGTTTTTAGGCAAATAACTGCAAGATTCAGCTAATGCATAGCAGCTCCACAGAATCACATACTTCCCTGTAATGCACCTGTAAGGTTTAAGCACACATGGAAAACTGAATTGCTCCACAGACATAACAGATATTCAGAAAGATTCAGCCCAAGCAAAGCAGCACTGCAAGGCCATAGGAAACAGTAGCACATGTATTTCTAAAACAAACTCATTGAAAGAAAATGGAGTGGATCCTACTTGTCAGCTTGTCCATGCATGTGATCATCCCAGTAGAACCATAGTTTGTGATGATGCAGCTAGAGTCACGGTTCTTCTCTGGAGTTGCAAGGCCAGGAGGCTAAGCAAGTGTTTAACCCGCCGCCATTATGGAGGAAGCATCCGAACATGAAGAGACCCCAAGAGACCATTTCCTGCACCCCAACTCCAAGGCTATGGGGGAGGCTTCCCTATTAAGATTGCATTCAGCCACCTGAACAAAGGGAACTTCGCAACAGGAGAGGCTGAACCTGTGCGGCAGGCCAGAAGAAACCAGCAAGGTGAGGGCAAATACTCAAACATATTCTTAGTATGGAGCTAGATATGACGGACGCTAGTCGTAAACTTCTCGTGGGTATTTGCTATAAACCTCCAAATATAGGGGAAGAGGGAGAAGTCAATCTTCACTCACAGATAGGAATAGCTGGGAGAGAGGGCAATGTAGTCGTGATGGGTGACTTCAATTGCCCAGACATCAATTGGGCCAATGGAACACGGGAGGCGGGCTTTAATTTATAATATAATTGGGCTGGGGGCGGAGCCATACCCATTGTATGCTGCCAAGTACGGTATCAGGGTATATATATATATTAGGGATGCACCGATACTAGCATCGGTATCGGCGGCGATACCGAGTATTTGCATGAGTACTCGTGCAAATACTCCGATACAAAAAACGAGTACCTGTGCCGCGTCCGCATGAAAAATTGATGTCGCGACCACTGTCCACAAGTCCACGACCCGATGTTCCGACGACAGGCAGATGGGAGGCAACCCCAGGACAGGAGCCGTGGAACCGTACAAGGGAAAGGATTGCAGCGCGCTGGGAGGACTCGTCCAGACCATCATGAACAACATGAAGGTCTGCCAGGCGTGTCCGGGGAAACTTCCATAACAAAGGAGCCAGCGGGGACAATGCAACCTGTTCAGCCAGGGAACTACAAGCCACAGCATGCATTGGGGCCCCAGCAGGAGGTCAGGCTGCAGCCATGGGAAAGGGGTGCAGGAGCTTCAATGGTGGTGCTGGGACTTGTAGTTCAACTGCAGACTGGCAGCTACAGGCAGCCCCGAGCAGCATTGCATGGCTCATAGACATGTATAGGATTCCTTTAGAGAAGGCTGCAGAGAGGAGCAGTACTGGGCACCCAGAGTAGCCCTCATTATCATCATAGGCATGGACAGGACTGGGCTGACAAGCTTAGATATGGGACTGATGTGTGTGTCTATCTGTAGAATGTGCTCTGATTTGGGGGTGCCTTAAATTACTGATGAACAACTGAATCTTAAATAAGTGTTGGGTTTATTTACAAATAGGGATATACATGCATTCTAATTACAATTAAGGGAATCTGAAAGGGGGATTGGGGATAGGAATTGAGGTTAAGGATCCTACAGCTAGCTACACCATTCTCTCACTCTCAGTCACACATGCCATGGGTTTTTCTCTGCTCTCAGCAGGTCTCAGCGAATCACATTCTTGATTGCGGAGTTCAGAAAGACTTGTCTTGTCCAAAAGTCTTGCTGGTCAGCTAGATTAGTGTCACACAGGAAGAAGGTTCCATCATATGCCCCGGCCCCCATCCCAGCATATATGCCTTGCTGACACAGGTGTGGGCAGTAAATACCAGCAGGGGGTCGGACTTGCCCCAGGACATGACCGTCCTGGCAGATCTTCATTCCTCAGTGTCCAGCGCCAAGAACCCTTTGATGGTCCTCATTTACATATCAGTCACCTGCTGATTCCATTCAAGATATCAAGGAACCTTCCATCAAAGCTGTATCATAGATGTCAATTATTTTACGTTCCAACACTATCACCTGGGGGATAAGTCTGAAAAAACATTTAGGTGTGAACAGCTTCTTCTTCCCATACCAGCTTCTGACTGAGGACCTTCACACCCAGTGTCATCTCCGCATCTTCCTCTTCCACATTTCATGTTCATGTCATGTTCATGTCATGTTCATGTTCTTCATAATATTAAGAAACTGACCTAAAATCATGATTTTGTATTGCTTTAGAAAAAATGTGAACTGTCCCTTTAAGAAAAAGTATCGGTAATTGGTATCGGTGAGTACTTGGAAAAAAAATAAAATTCTTCTCCTTCCTAAAAGATGCGGTCCTTTGCAAGTACGTGGAGAGATTTTCCACCAAGTCCAACTTCTTCCACTGCAACTCGTCCACCTCCGAGATTCCCGAGGTAGGAAATGTGGAGAGCTCAATCTCCCAATTCACATGGAAACTAGACGACACCTTTGGAAGAAATGACGGTACCGGCCTCAGCAGGATACTGTTAGGGAGTTGAACCAAGAACGGCTCCTCCATGGACAGAGCGTGCAACTCCGAGACCCTCCGTGCTGAAGCGATGGCCAGCAAGAATTTCATCCTCAGTGTAAGATGCCACAGAGAGCAGGTTTGGACAGGATCAAACGTCCCCTGAAGAAGGCTCTTCAGCACCAACGGGAGATCCCATTTAGGAAAGAACACTTTCCGAGGTGGACGAATCTTCCCTACTGCCTTCAGAAACTGCACTATCAAAGGATCAGCCGACCACTTCCTTCCTGTCAGGGCTGTAAGTGCCGACACGTGTACCTTCAGGGTGTTGAAGGCTAACCCCCCATCCAATCCCTGCTGCAGGAATTCCAAGATCCTGCCCACTGGCGGATCCGAAGGTTCGAAACCATGTTTCTTTGCCATGTCGATAAATCTGGTCCATACTCGGGAATATGTTGTGTTAGTCGAACCCTTCCTAGCCTGGAGGAGGGTCTGGATCACTGACTCCGAGATCCGCAAGCCCTCTAACCGATGCCTTTCAGCCTCCAGGCCATAAGGTGTAAGCGGGCCAGGTTCGCGTGGCGGAATCCTCCCTGTTCCAGAAGATCAGAGTCCAGCGGGAGAGGGAGTGGGTCGGCTATCTTCATCTGCCACAACAGCGGGAACTTGGCCATGGGAGATCTTGGCCAAAACGGAAGTATCGCAATTGCGTCTACTCATTCCCTCTGAATCTTGAGAAGTACCCTCAGGATCATGCAAAACGGTGGAAAGATGTACACTAAGTGGAAGTTCAACCTCTGCTCCAGGGCATCCTGTGCTAGTGCCCTGTGGTCATATAGGCGAGAGAAGAATCTTGGAA